ACAGGCGCCCGCCACAACGCCCGGCCATTTTTTTTTTGGTTGCAGCCGTCATTGTCGCCTGGCGGGCCCGGGCTGGGGATTTGAACCCGCCACCTTAGGTGTATGTGGCTGGTGCCTTAGCCACTTGAGCCACAGGCGCCGAGCCAAAACATAAGAACTTGAAGAACATTTTCTTGGGTAGGACGGAAGAGTGGGATTTTGATCACTGGATTTGGGGGATCTCTGAGGTTCAGTTGTGTCCTCTAAGAAGTTTCATTCTATCTCATGGCTTCCTCTTCTTCCTCAATGCCGATGACTCTCTAACCTGTAAATTAGCCCAGATCTCTCCCTCAGGCTATGGGCTCAACTGAACTGTCCAAAACTAATCATCTTTGTGTTGGTAAACGGGTCTATGGTGCAACCAAAGAATGGACTGTGCAAGAAGCTCTGACACTTCACTAGACTCCTCTTGTTCCCTAACTCAAGTTCAGTTAGTCACTATATCATAGAATTGTCCCTTTAATGTCCTTCTATGTTAGCACTGCTATCGCAGGAAAACAGTGAACTAAAATAGACAGACACTTAAACCAACAATATAGAGGAAGGAACCTTTAATTGCCAGTGAGAACTCAGGTGCCTCAAGGCGTAAAATGCTGACCTCCGGGGAACAGTTTTTTCCAAACTCTTTTATAACTTTTATTTTTTTAATAGTTCTACTTTTTATTATTATTATTGTTATTTTTATTATTTTGGCGGGGGCTGGTTTTGAACCCGCCACCGCTGGCATATGGGGCCAGCACCCTACTCCTTTGAGCCACAGGCGCCACCCAAAATTAGGTTTTGGTTTTTTTTTTTAAGACAGAGCCTCAAGCTGTTGCTCTGAGTAGAGTGCTTTGAAATCACAGCTCACAGCAACCTCCAACTGCTGGGCTCAAGTGATTCTCTTGCTTCAGCCACCCAAGTAGCTGGGATTACAGGTGCCTGCCACAACACCCAGCCATTTTTTGGTTGTAGTTGTCATTGCTGTTTGGCAGGCCCAGGCTGGGTTTGAACCTGCCACCTCTGGTGTATGTGGCAGGTGCCTTAGCCGCTTGAGCTACAGGTGCCGAGCCACCATATTTTTTCTTCAGTTCAATACCAGCTACATAGTTATGGCTACAGTTGTTGGAAACCAGGGTATTGTTATTAGTTAGAAATCTTTTTTTCTTTTTTTTTTTTTTTTGCTTTTCAAGGTTATTTTAGCTCAGTGTAAAGTTTGTTCTTATCTTTGGAGGAGGAGTTCTTCTGCAGCTGCCTGCTGTTTTCTCAGGATCACTAAGAGGTATAAGATTTATTTCTCCTTCCTAATTCCCCTCTTTAAGACCCCAGGGATTAGGAATGGGGTCTCATCTTATTCATTATCGGTATCTACACTACTTGATAATATCACTAAGTCATGAACACTTTGCCTGCATTCTCTTTTTTTTTGAGACAGAGCCTCAAGCTGTCCCCCTGGGCAGAGTGCCGTGGCATTACAGCTCACAGCAACCTCCAACTCCTGGGCTCAAGCGAG